CACCTACGCTATATAGACTGAAATACTGGTAGCATCAATAAATAATAACAAAAATTGGTGAAGTTACTTGCAGAATATTTCAATGTGGCCGAACATCATTTCTTAACAGTTCTCTGTGGTTTAACCAGTGAAGTCTAAATATTCTATTCCTGTATTTGAACACATTCTACATTATTTTCCTAAAACAACAAGAATTGAGACACAAATTAAATGGCTAGGTCTGTCTGCAAGGTTGCTAAGTACATTAAGATAACATTCTAATATCGGGAAAGGCGGCGCCACAGCTCAAGCGGTTAGTCGCTGGCTTTCCACCTCGGCGGCCCGGGTTCGATCCCGGGTCTGGCCAAGTGGGATTTTTGGTGGACAATGTGGCGCTGGGGTGGGTTTTCTCCGACTACTTCGGTTTCCCCTGCCAATCTTCATTCCACCAAATTCTCCATCATCATAATCACCCGGGACAAGTACAATAGGACAATCAGTGGCCGCCGTGCCGAGTGGACCCAGTTGGACTCCACCCCCCACTAAGCGAATTTGTTTAATATCAAAAATATTTTATCCCGATATCACAACTTCTACTGCAAAAAATAAAATATACGTGGTTTAAGTCCGTAAGCAAACTATACCGACCGAGCAACCGCCGCTTGCCGGCGAAGTTGGTGCCAACGTTAGCGGATAGAGGGTGTCGCGTGGTCAGCGCAACAGATCCCCACGGCCGTTAATCTCTGTTTTCTAGACCGGAGCCGCTATTTACTTGAAATAGCTCCTCAATTATCCTCACGCGGCTGAGCGAACCCCGTTCCAGACCCACTACTCATAAAATCTGGCAGCTCCGGGAATTTAACCCGGGACCTCAGGATCTGTAGCCAGAAGACCACAGAGGAGGTCCACAACTTTTACTGCAACAAGGATTAAACCAACTAAGTCTCAGTAAAAAAAACACCTTACATAAAACCTTTCACCACTCTCTATGCCTTGCCGGTACGTGAGCAAATGGGGCACCAGTGACAATATTCAAGGTCAAGCTACGGACAAAAGCCCCAAATAATTTGAAAATAATACGAGTTTCATTCCTCACAAATAATTATCTTCACGATGTAAGATTTAAGGTTTTTACAGCGTGACTATGAAGAACGCCGTCTTCTGGCATGTGGCGCCGCGTAGATATTTTGTTGACCGACGTTTCGGAGGAAAGTATCTCCTCCAACTTCTGAGTATAAGAAATCCGTGAGTGATGAGCCAGCGATGAACAGACACCTGCTGGCGCTGGTTCATCGCTCGCGGATTTCTTAACCCTGAAGATGGAGGCGATACGTTCCTCCGAAACGTCGGTTAACAAAATATCTACACGGCGCCACATCCCAGAAGACGGCATTCTTCATAAAAAAAAGTCTTCAATTCTCATACAGGAAGGCAGAATATTTTGAAACTTGTGTTTTAAAAATGACTAAACAGGAAATTTTCAATATTCACGAAAACAAAATACTGTCAAGATTAGTACATCAAATTTGGAGTATGACTGTTTCAAAAATTCTTACAGGATTTTAATTATAAGAACTGATAATGCTTTGCACATGGGCCAGAGGGGAGTTTTTATGATGACAGAGATGAATATTCAGATTGATTCTCTGAATTCCTTGATCAGCCAAATGGGCATCAACTGCTTTTGCAAGAACAGTTGTCATGGAACAAGCTGAGATGCTCTATCAAATGTAAAGGTTATGCAATGTCAAATCTGAGAAGTATGAGTCACAAATGTTGAAGAAGAATGAGTTCAAAGTCTAGTTGAATGAACTATCCCACATGTGAAACTGAATGACTCATGAAAACCACAAAAACCATAAACACATGCCTCATATCCTACTCAACTGTTTTCTTCACATTAAATTTATTGACAAATGCAGAATTTTGCCACTAAATTTACCCACTTTTAAATGTATCTGCATAAATTTCCAAGTCTCAAATATGACACAATGTTCAAACTGAATCACATGCCTGTTCTGAAAACTTTGCATTGTGAACTCAATTACATTAACTTATATACTTCTGCTCTTTTTACTTGCCTCTGATTTGCATTTAGGCCAGCAATTCAAAAGTTATGAATTGTGGTATCAGTACCCCTAGGATTGGGGCAAGTGGTGGTGTACTTGGTTGAGGCACTATGCTACAATCCACCCGATGAGGTGGATTTTTCATTTACCTAATCCTTCCAGCTGCACTATGGCCCTAGGGTCGACTCAGCCTCTAAGAGAAATGAGTACCAGGAATCTTCCTGGGGGTAAAGTGTGGCCAGAACATAAGGCTGATAACCTCACTGCCATCTGTGAGCTGATTGTCTAGATAATGTGGGACCCTCAACATCTCACAACCCTATGGGCCTCCATGGCCTGTTACAGGGATAGCCTTAGCTTTGCCTTACCACTAGGATACAAAATTATGCTGATAATAAATTGTTACTACTAGCAAATCAAGCAACTAATAACGTTTCATAATGTTCATTAAACAGATTGAAATATGAAAAATAATTAGTTACAAAATAGTAATATGAGGTAACTGATTCATGTCCAGCAGGCACAGAGTAACATTCTCAGAAACTGGTGTAATGATTTAAAGTGCTTCCTTGTCCTTCCAATAAACGGGCCTTCTTCATTAAACAAACACAATTAATTACAATTTGGAACTAACTAACTAACTAACTAAATTAACTAACTCCGTGGAGCTCAGTCCTTCCTGAGAAGCCACCAGCTGCCCAACTGAAGAATTTCACAACATCTTATGGAACCTGAAGGTTCATTACTGTGTTCACAAGATTTTGCCACTAGTCCCTATCCTGAGCCAGATGAATCCAGTCCATACCACCCCATCCTAGTTCCCTAACAATTTTAATATTATCTTCCCATGTCTGTCTAGGTCTTCCAGGTGGTCTCTTTGCTTCTGGATTTCCCACTAAAACTCTATATGCATTCCTCTTCTCTTCCATATACTACATGTCCTGTCCACCTAATCCTCCTTGAATTGATCATTCTAATTATGTTCGGTGAATGGTACAAGTTATGAAGCTCCTTGTTATACAATTTTTTTCCAACCTCCTATCACTTCATCTCTCTTCAGTCAAAATATTCTCCTCAGCACTCTGATCCAAAATTCTTCTTAGTCTATGTTCTTCCCTTAATGTGAGATACAAAACTACATGCAAATTATAGTTTTGAATGTTGTAACATAATGCCTGAGAGCCAGAACAGCAGAGCCAGAAGAAGTGACTATTGATGGTCAATGGCTAGCAAACAAGCTCCAGTGTCAACAAACATGCAGGCCATCACTCTGAAACAGCCTGCTTAATATGACACACAGCAGAGGAACTCGCTGGCATCAGTGTTCTCTATGTGGTCTGTGCCCAGGCTATTTAATGAGAACACCAGTCAAAGTGACTGCCTGTGGAGAAGGGTTCGAATAGCTCGACCGTAGCCCTGATAGTCATAGGAGGCAAAGAAAGGGAACCCAGTGCCTGTGGGTATGATTGGGCCACCCTGTTCCTGGGGAATATAAATATAGGTGCCTGGCCCTCCAGGTTGGGAGAGTCTCAAGTCTTAGACAGTAAAGTATGGTCATGAGTCTCGTGGGACTTGGACCTAGAATGCTACTAGGACCAGCAGCAATTATAAACAGCAGACTCATCCTCTTGTCATAGAGGGCGCCCCACATCAACAAACCCGCAAATGTTTGACAGTAATGAAAATCTAGTCTTGGGCCCCAGATTTGGCTTCACACCAAGACAGACTGGCTAAGTGACTGTCGGTCATAACACAACTTTGACTTTGACTTGTAGGAGTCTGTTGTGAGTCAGTCACCAGCCAGTATGGACATGCCCATGGAAGCAGAGGTACAGCCATTGTAAGAAGCTGTTACCAAGTAACAAATATGTGAACACACAGCAAAATGGGAATGCTTGGTGAATGCTGCAGTTATCAGTAGACTGCAGAGAACAGTGGAAGTGTTGTAATTACTTGCAGCAGTGAATATCGAATGTCCAGTAAATCCAGCCCAAACACTGTGGGCTTAACCCAAGCTAACCGAGCGTTCAGAGGGGAACTCCACCTACCATGAAGCCTGCTGTTCAGAGCTCCCCCAATAAGAAACCATCTGCCATCAACCACGAAGCAGACATTGCAGACTGGTTACATATATCCATCATTACGCATGCCAACATTTGAATCTGGCCAGCAAGAGAATAAAAGCATGCTATGACCACCAGGCCAATTTCATGGAATTCAAGGAGCAGGCAACAAATACATGTACATACAGCAGAATAGAAACACCTGGAAAATGCTGTAGTTATTTGTAGATTGAGTAGAGTAGTAAAAGTGTTGCAATTACTTGTAGCTATGAACTTCATACATTGAATAAATTCAACAATGAATCCTGTGTCTAGTCACTAACACATGACCATATTTCAATTTTACATTTTTTGACAGGTTCTGAACTGAATGGTAGCAAAGCATTAACTGAGTTTAATCTGCTCTTAATTTTCTTATGAATCAAATTTTGATTTGTACCTGTCATTCCCAAATATCTGAACTTTTGCCACATATTCAAACGCTCTATTAGCTAAATAAAATTTGGAACACCTTAAGAAGAGGGTGAATGTATATTTGACTTTTGTTAGCGGATTGCATCATCTACCACCAAATTTGACACGAGACATGCTTTATTTATGCCTATTAAACATAAGAGAAATGAAACATAATCTAACCTAACTTATTAACAAATTTATATTTGTTGCTGGTACAACTATGGGCATGTATCAGTAAATACAATGTTGAAAAAAAAATGAGAAAAAGTTAAATATAAATAACTTATCACTCTACTGTAAAAAATGAACTAGGATACCGCAGAAGTTAATCCACTATAAGCAATTGATTTTCTAAGTATTATGAAGCATGTAAATTGTGATATGTTAAATTATTCTCACACATTTTATAACAGTTTATATAATGATTACTCACCCAGTTTTATATTCTGGTACAAACTGAATGCTGAGAAGTTTATTTAGTGGAATGACCTCACTTATGCTTGTGCCACTCTTGTCTGTAAAACATGACAGCTTTCCTTCTGCCAAGATGCAACGACGTGGTGTGTAATCTTTGCTACCACAAGCTGCCCGGTACAGGATACCACTACGTTGTACAGCTGCATTAGGTGTCCAATTTGGGCGGCTGACAAGTGCGCATGCTTCATTTTGCCCTCCATAAAACAGACTGTTCTGGTAACCAAGTTTATCTTCTGCTGCCGGTTGTTCCCTTACTGCTCTCCTGAAAGATGATCCATCTGCCATCATCTGAATAGCTCGCTTCATGCTTGCCCAGCGAACTAATGCTGCTTTACGATTCCTCCCCACCACACCGTCAACATTTCCATTAGAATTATTAATACCACTTGTAAACTCTGATTCTTTCTCCTGGGATGATTCCTGACGGTCCACATCACTGTCAGGTATTGCAGCAATTTCGGATGAATCCTCATTTTCAGGCTCATCAACTATACAGTTTTCTTCAGCAGGTACTACTGATATGGAATCGTACCTCCTTGGGGGAACTGGGGGACACACAAATTCTTCATTCTCTCCTGTCTTCTCTTCCGGCACTTCAGGTATAACCACTCTGTTAATTCTTCCATATGGAGAATCTGTCTCACCTGTGTCAGCTGGTAAGAAGACTTCAGTGTAATTGCTCTTTGCTTCACCAGAACTATCACCAGTTTCATACAGAGGGTCAAATTCTAGTATAACCGACTTAGTCAACACTTTATGTTTACCTTCCACCCTTCTCCGAGGAATATTAGTTTCCCAATTTTCATACATTTCATTCCATATATTTACCGAATGTTGATGACCAAACTGCGAATTCGAACAGGATTCACCTTCAGATATTCCATCACTGTTGTCACAGTTCAGATCATCCTGGGGTGACGATGGAGCACTCTCAGTACAACTTAGTTTGCTACTGCAGTGTCTGTTATAAATCATTGAATCAGAACCACTACAACTTGATATGTCAGAAGGTGCAACATTCTGGTAAATGTCTTTCTCTTGAGTAGCATCATAGAAACTCCATGAGTCTGATCTTGATATAAATTTGTGCTGACTGTCAACAGATGACTCACTGTTTTCCAAAAAATTTCGTTCAGTTTTCTTCTGTGAAGCACCAGAAAGTTCATGCCCATCACTTTCCCTAATTTGTGTTATATCTTCATAAACTGTCTCAAAGTCTGTTATATTTAAATCACAATATGGTTCATAACTACTAGAATGACTTGAGACTACAGAATGAACTTCATCATATACTGATTCATCAGGTAAAGGGGGAGGAGGGTACACTGGTGGCGGTGCCCCCGATGTTGACACACACTCTTCTTCTACTGTATCGTCGCACACTTCCAGTTCAGGTGGAGCATCTTTAAGAGGTGAGATGAAAGATATCGACTGAAAGATGTCTCCTGATGGAAGAGACTGACTTCGGCCACTTTTCTTCGCTGAAAAATCATTTAACTTATTTGGAGTTGTTGATCTAGTTGTCAAACGTCTAGCAATCATATTACGAACAGACTTCTCAATAGAAGCACCAACAGTTTTTGTCCTTCCTATCACAGATTTTCCTTTCAACTGAGCATCATCACATTCAATTTTCCAATCTTCTTTCAAATTTTGCGATCGTATTCTTTCATTATACGGCATTCTGTTACTGTTTTCACTAACGTGATTTGTAATATCACATGTCTGTCTTTCACTTAGGACTAGATTGTCACTGTTTATTTCCGTAGATTTGCAATCTGATTCATTAAATATCTTCATACGTGGTAGCGGTACTGGCTTCTTAGACGCACTTGTTATCATTTTACATGCTGTACGTTTTTGCTCCAGATGACTTACTCTAGGTGTAGGTACTGGTGGTATCCTATCCATCATACGTTCTATTCACATTAACTGCGCCCCCTTGCCATGAGTAACAGCTGACAAAGCAGAAGGTATGACTCATATTTCACTGCTTCATATCTATCAGCAAGAAAATATGTGGTTTCATATCACGAAGATTCTACACATTATACGATCACACTACAAGCACTACACTGATCTGGATACCACATTTCAACATAACAAAGAAATGCGAACATTCTACATCCACATTCTCCAGCAGTAGCACCCGTGCGTAGTTGTAAATAGAACCTGTTGATCCTGTTGATAGTGTTCATTGTTCATACCAACCAATTATTCTCTCACACCAAATGCAAAGGCAGCACAGAACTAACTCCATGTCACAGACAAGAACGGCATTAGGCTAGAACGGCTAGAACTAATCCCTGGTGTGGAACGCCATGCAACCTTATCCTACTTGGGAAACGCAGCTGCACGCTATTGTGCTGCCATCATTTGGTGAATGGGCAATTGTCGTTGGGTAACTTCGCTTAGTCGGTAAGAAAGTCTATTACTACTTTTTTTTTTTTATTTATCATTTATTAGCAATCTGAATTTACATTCTATGAGCTAATTTGCTGTCATGTACAATAATTATTCTATTGTACTAAGTTGGCTTGAAGAGCAGTAATCCATCGATTACACCTCAGTTTCCCTGGAGATCGTTTGTCCAAGTTCATCTTAGTCTTCTGTATTGTGTAGATTGAAGGAGAGCTTCTATTGCGTTGTTGGGATGAGATTCCAGTGATAATGTTTTTGGATTCTGTCTGTGATTACGGTTCTTACATATGGGATCTTGAGGTCGGTGTGAAGAGTTTGGTTTGACACATACCAAGGTGCGTCAACTATGGCTCTAAGTATTTTGGATTGACTTCGCTGGATGATTTCTATGTTGGACCTGCTGGCGCATCCCCAGAGCTCAATGCCGTATGTCCATATGGGTTTAATTATTGTTTTGTAGATCAGCAGTTTATTATCTATTGTTAGGTGAGATTTCCGACCTATTAGCCAATTTATTTCCTTGAACTTAATTTCGATTTGTTTTCTCTTCTTCGCTATATGGTGTTTCCAGTTTAATGTTGAGTCCAGGTGTAGTCCTAAGTATTTTACTACATCCTGCTGTTGAATGTTAACATGATTTAGATGTACTGAGGGGCAGTTGCCTTTCCTGAGAGTAAAAGTCACATGCGCCGATTTGCTTTCATTCACTTTGATTTTCCATCGGTGTAGCCATTTCTCCATTAGATTCAGATGTTCTTGTAAATTAGATGAAGCAATTACCGGGTCTTCTGACGTAGCGAAAATTGCTGTGTCGTCTGCGAACGTACCTATTTTTGTTGATTCGGTGGTCGGTATATCTGAGGTGTATAGCACGTAGAGGAGTGGACCCAAGATACTGCCCTGAGGAACTCCTGATTGTATGTTTCTTCGGTTGGATACTTCAGCGTTGATTTTTATTTCGAATTCTCTGTCTGTTAGTTACGACTGCAGTATTGCGAAATATTTGGCCGGTAGAATTCTTCTGATTTTGTAAAGCAGGCCTGGATGCCAAACTTTGTCAAATGCCTGACTTACGTCGAGGAAGGCAGCAGTGCAGTATTGTTTGTTTTCCATATCTTGGTTGATTATATTAGCTATTCGGTGGCATTGTTGTACTGTGGAGTGTGCCTGTCGAAAGCCAAATTTGTGATTAGGGATCCAGTCATTTGGATTGGCGTCGTGATTAATTCTATTGAGGATAAGCTTTTCAAGAAGTTTCGATATTATGGGTAACAATGTAATTGGACGGTAGCTTGTTACGTCAGTGTGATTTTTCCCAGGCTTTGGAATCATTATTATTTGTGCGATTTTTAATGGTTTGGGCCAGTAGCCATTCCTTAAGGTGGAGTTGAATATGTACATGAGTTTGAGTATTCCCTTTTTTGGGAGTTCCTTTAGTAGTGTGGCTGTGATGAGATCAACTCCTGGCGTCTTTTTTGTATTTAGCCTGTGAATTTCTTCCCTTATTTCTTTCGGGTTAAAATGTTTTGGGTGTTCTTGATCCTGGATATGTAAGTTGAGAATCTGGTCAACTTTTACGTCTCTGTTATTATTTAGTGGTGTGAAAACTTCAGTTAGATGTTCTGCAAAACGTTCGGCTTTTCCTTGGTCATTTTTTGCCCAGGGTCCAGGAGGGTTTGTGTTTTTTCTCAGTGGAGGTGTGGATGTTGTTGGTTTATTTCTGCTTTTTATCGGTTTCCATATGGAGTTGTCATATCTGGAGAGGTTTGAAACTTATTGTGTAAATGAATTGTTTCTTGTTTCTCTTAGTTTTGATATCAGCTCGTTACTTAGTTGGTTGTATCTTGTTTTGCTATTTGGGGTGTGAGTTCTCTGCCAGATTGATCGTGCTCTTCTCTTTTGTGCTATTAGCTTTTTTATTTCTCAGGAGATGTGATGGGACTCGTTTTTTATTTCAATTCGCGGGGTAGCCTCTCTTGCAGCTTGTTGGATGAGATTGATAAAGTCTTGAGTTTCCCTTTCTATGTCGTCTGGGGATTGCAGCCTGACTGCTAGTTTAGTGTTATAATCGCACTTCGGCTATCACTTCTCGCAACCGTTGGGCGCCACTTCTCGTGACCGTTGCCTATCTATCTTTATGTTTATTTATTTGCCCGGTTCGGTAGAACACTTGACTCATTTATTTGCCCGCTTCGGTAGAACACTTAACTCATTGATTTGGCCGCTTCGGTAGAACACTTTTGACTCTTCTCATGGTTGTGTCACGGTAATAACTAGGAGACTGCACATTTAAAGCTAGTCCACTGATATAAATTAAATACTCTAGTTTCTGCTTAATCACAAAATGTTTATTTCGGAAGAAAACACTATATCGTTATTGGCAAGTACGGAGTAATGTCTCCTTTTTATTATTATCAAAGATTAATGGAACCAAATAGACTGATAAATTTAGATACTCGTATACTTGGAGAGCGCAAGCCCGATGGTGTCTGCCTCTGGTGAATTCTAAGTGCCAAGTCCTTCTGCCCACTCTATTCTGCGGGAGCGTCGCTTCATCACCGTATAGGATTTGAACCGACGGCCTTTTTCCCAGACAAGAATAGTTTCCTAATGGCTGATTTTAACTGCCAATTCATCATATCATCAGTACTAGACAATCACTTTACTAACCTTTAGAATAAATAATAGATCCAAAGATATTGAACCCGGAACCCTACATGTGAAAGCGGTTATTTCTTAGTTTAGGGTCTAATTACACCCTTCCGAAGACACTTTTATAACAGCTACCCTATTAGCAAACAACATTTACATGTTCTGCAACTACAGACATGTCCTTTCATAATTGCCTCGACCCTTTAGCGGTCACCCAAGCTGCAGGTAACGGAACAAGACAGTTGGTCCTGTCTAAATGCTAAACGCATTTCATAACTTCTTAATGGATGGGTCTCCCTTATAAATCAGTCACTCTATTGAAATGGCTAAAGAGGAACATAGCGTCCATTAAAGAGTATTAAAAGGTTTGGACTGTTACAGTGTTATCCTGGATTATTTGTCGGTAAGTATCCCAATTGGTTTTTGGGTTGTGTAGCCTTGGTAAGGGGTTTCTGTTTAATAGGGTTGTGCCAATTATTGCAATTATGGTGCTGTGGTCAGAGCTTAGGTCGTACCTAGGTGTTATGTCTGTATTTCATTTTCATCAGTAATCTGTCAGACGACAGGTCCACAGTCTCTTCCAAAACAGTTCCTCCATTTAATGCGATCTCAAGCTTATGTCTGTATATGTTGTGGAAATTCCGTTGATTACAAAGAAGTCCAATAGGTCTGGAATTTTATTGGCATCTGTGGGCCAGTATGTTGGCGAACCAGATGATAGAACCGAGTATTTGTTTTCTTGAATTACTTGTGCAAGTTCCCTTCCTTTGGTGGTAATTAAGCGTGATCCCCATAGCGTGTGTTTGGAGTTGTAATCTCCTCCTGCTATGAACTTAGGTCCTAGGGTTGCGAAGTAAGTTTTAAATTGGTCTTTCTTTATGTTGTGTCGTGGTGGACAATATACTGCTGACGCCGTTATTTCGTATTGTAAGCAGCTTACTTTTATTGATGTGGCTTGGATAAAGTTTTCTTCGTGTTTTAGTAGTTCGTAATGTTTTATATTGTCCTTGATGAGTATTGCTGATCCTGCATGAGCTGTTCCATCTGGGTGGTTAGTGTAGTATAGCTTATACCTCGGAATGTTGAAGTACGTTCTGTTGGTGAAGTGAGTTTCGCTGATGAGGAGTACGTCAATTCGGTTTTGTGTTAGGAATAAATCTACTTCATCTTTGTGGCTTGGGAGACCATTGGCATTCCATTGTGCTATTCGTAGGAACTTGGTCGTTTTTTTATTTAAGTTTGTTGATTAGCATGGTTAGCATGTTGAGTATCATACTGTTCTGTTGCATTAGCTGGTTAAATAGGTTTTTGAATTCGTCTAGGAAAGTAGAGAATATGTTGTGTGTGTTTTCTGTCTGGATTATGTTTTGTTTGGTTACTTCGGCATAACTTGGCCGCTGCGGGTGTACTATGGGTTGTATGTTTTGTGAGGTATATTTGTGTTTGTTGATGTAGCCGCGGTGCGTTGTGTGATGGGTTTGTTGTTGCCAGTGATTAGCCTCTGGTAATGCTCACAGCCTTTGTAATTTGCAGGGTGGTCTCCTCCACATAGTGCGCATTTAGCTGGGGTGTTCCTTGATTTCTTGCCCTCTGTTGTGTTGTGCGAACCTCCGCATTTGACACAAGCAAACGGTCTGTTGCAATACGATTTTGAGTGTCCGTATTGCTGGCATCTCATACACTGGATCATGTAATTTTTTGTTGTTGTGCGAGGTGGTTCTATTTCTATGATTTTGTTTTGTAGTCCTTTAATTTTGTACACTTCTTTGTTGTTACTGGCTGGTTCGAGGTCAACAAAGAACATGTTCAATGGTTCCTTTGTCAGTCTGTTCCGTACGTTTATTATGTTGCGGACTTTGTGTCCTAGTCGGAGTAGTTCCTCTTTGATGTCATCTATGTCAGTGGAGTAGTGGAGATATCTTATGACAATTCTATATGCTCTGTCTTCCTTCAGTTGGTATGTATGGTGGTATATGTTTTTTTCCTTGAATTCTCTTACTAGTTTGCGGTAAGTGTCTGGTGTATTACAATTGATTTTAACTACGTTATTCGCTAGGCTTTTTGTGTAGTACTGTTCATGTTCTACCAGTACTTGTATTTGTTTAACCATTTCTCTGTAGTTGACCACACCGTGTACAAAGATTGGTGGAGGTTTTGGTTCTCTTGCTGGGGTGGGGTTGTCGTTATTGTCAGGTGGAGTGTG